CTTAGTGGGTATAAAATATAAATTTAATTCCTGGAACTCAGGGAATTAAATACTGAGGAGAGTCCTCTGAGGGTGGAGGTGGGCATAGTCGGTCTTACTTACCATCAGATTGTGGCAAGCCTGCGTTGTGCAGTCTAGCTTTCTGCAAAGCGCCGTGCTTCAGACATTCCGTGAGGAATAGACATGAAGCATGAGTGTGTTCCTGTGTTGATGGGCTGGGAAGAACGTGCTGAAAAGCACGTTCGCCGTTGCCCTGCCTAGGCACAAACTAAGACTGGAGGTGGAGAGAAGCCAGTTATGCTGCCATAGTCTATTTGCGTCTGTCTCAGGGTTTCTAACGGATCCTTGTTTACCAGCGCGTCTTGGTAGCAAATTCTTTCTGACACCTGCCTTAGCTGCTGTTCCCTGTCTCTGTTTCCTTGGGGCTGACAGGGATGCCGCTCTTAGCGGTTCGTTTTGTGTCAGCAAATCTGCCTTTACCCTGTAGCCACAGTGGCTGCATGCATCATTAGTGTGGCACATAGTGATTTTAATGTGGCTTCGAAGCCATCCTCAACTCTTGCCGTTATTTTAATTTAGGACCCACGGCCCAGCCGCGTGGGGCAGTTTGTCATTCAGCATCTGTGCTTGCAAAATACGTATCCGTCAGTGTGCCTTACGCCTTCAGATGTGCTATATTTCACACAACTCTTTTCATCTTATTGACATTGAAACTCACTGAGTCTTCCATTTACTTTTCCCACAGAGAGCTTAAGGTTGGATTGGGACACTGGAAAGTCAGTGCATAAAGAAATGGTACTTACGTTCTGTAGGTTAGCTTTGCTTGGGCCCACATACAAACACAAGGATTCTGAGCTGGCCATTTATTACTATACTTCACGAGTTATTCGGCATCTGGCCTGGGGGTATAACACAGTGGGTAGGGGTGTGCCTAGCATGCTCAAAGCTCTGGGTTCAATCCCTGGCTTGGCATGGTGTTACACATCTGCAGTCCCAGCAGTGGAGGCGGGAGAATCATAAGTTGACTGTTGTCCCCAGCTCTGTAACAAGTGTAAGTCCAGTGTGGCATACAGGAGGTCCTGCTTCTCCCAACAAACAAACAAAAAACCCTCTTCAACTTCTATAGAATGTTGTCTAACAAGATCACAACAGGAATTCAAAAAGTCTATCACCAGCAGAATAAGCAGGAAGTTTTCCTTGCCCTGGTCTGGGTCTGATTACTGGCCTGCATGCCTCTGCTGCCTTCCTCTGGGGAGTTTGCTAAAGATACAGCCATCTTTGTCTTGTCCACAAAGCCTTAAAGCGATCCAGTCCAAATCCAGTGGACACAAATGACATGAAGGAGGCATGTAGCGCCCTCGTCTGTACAGAGACTCTGCCTGTCTTCCAAACATCACCTGTTAGAGACAGTCAGGGTTTGTCTCCCAGGCTTCTGTTGCTGACCTTTGAGAAGACAAAGCTGTGTGGCAGTGTGCGCAGAGGCCGAGATCTGAGTGGGTTGTAATCTTAAAGAAGTTGCTTTCTCTTCTGGACCTGATTTGTCACTTAAAAGATCCAAAATGCTTTAGCAACTTGAAACTTACCTAAGCATTGGATGGTTAAGCCTAACTCCCTTGAACTCACTTGCCAACTGTGATCTGAAAGGGAATCATGTTATTTCTCTCTATATCTTGCTTTCAATATTTCCATCTTTTCCTGCAGAAATATCAATGTATGTGATCGTGGACTCCATCTAGACACAGGGATTTTGGAAAGGGGTCACGGACCAGCAGTGCTTATGTTTCTGTTTTGAGATTTAATGACTTGATATATGCAGACATGCCTATAATAAATCTAAGCTCTGGTTTTTACTTCATCTGCATAGGTTTTACTTTATGAGCAGTCGGTAAGTGGTTGACCTTGTCCTGAGCCTTTGGGGACAGGGTACATGTGTGACTGGGCAGGACATCAGTTCTTCATTGTTAAATAAGTTAAAGTCAGGTGACGATAGAGGAAGATCTGGTCACTGAGGGACCCTGCAGTGGGTTAGTGGTGCATAGGCTGTCCCTAGCAAGTGATGCTGTCCTAAGATACAGAATTCTCCAGGTGAACGTGCAGGCACTGCTCTGGTTAGCCAGGAGCTTATCTGAAGTTTCAGAATTCTGAAGAGGAAGCATTTGAGTTCTTTTCCTTTAAACTATCCAAGTGGATGTTTCTAACCCATCCCCTCTCCTGAGGCCAGAGCTTGTCATCAGATGCGGCTTCTGGAAACTGGAAAGCAAGGAGAATCAAAGGGCAATCAGAGGTCCCAGTGATGGTCTGCGGAAAAGAGCAGGCATCTACATTCACCAGATGGTGCCTAACTCCCCCAGGCAGGGAAGCTCTCCTGAGCCATGAGGTTTGTGCAGCCTTTGTGATGACTGAAGATTTTTCCCCCCAGGGAATGCTAGCAGACTGGACACTTTGCCCAGTTCTATGTCCCTGGCTTACAGGCATATGTGGGTTAGGATACTAGCCTACCATGCTCTTAAATTTCCCCCAAGACTAAGAATAAAACACACGCAGACTGTGATCCGGAGAGCCTCTTGAACAGCGAGCCTTGCACAATGCTTGGCACAGGGAGGGCAGTCAGCTAATCCACACAGGTTACCCTTCGGTTTGGTTCTTGTAAATCACATGCGATCACCAGGGGGTTTATTTAAAAGGGAATGATTAAATACATCCTAACCTCGAATTCCTTTTCATTTGAGAGATAAATGTCTCTTACAATACAATGTCAAAACTAGTTGCTTAGGGTAATGCTTACATCCTGAGTATTAATAGCATTGTTCAGTTGTGGTTATTGTATATAACCCGCATTTATTCTCGAGTTTAATTCATGATAACCTGTAATTGGCTACTTTTTTTATTCTTTTATTCTTGAATTATGATTTTTTTGGCCCGTTATATTACTCTCTGAAACAGGGACAGAAAGCGGGAAGGAAAGCTGAGAAATGATTTGAACTTTTGTCCTGTTTTCTGCTACTGTTCATCCTTACACCGCATCAGTTCTGAGTCCTGCCTTCTCCATTAAATATTGCAGCGCATTAATGGATAGCTTAGATGAAACTTAAAACAGCACAAATTAAATTGACGCCTGATACGAATATTATATCAGTACTTTTGTGAATAATTCATAGGAAAGTGCGTTTTCAATCCTCTTTGCAGCTAAGGAGTCATTATCCAGGGTGGTGCCTGTCACGAGCTGCCGTGTTCTCTCTCTTCTGTTCCCTGTGCTTACTGACACGCCTCAGCCTACTGCAGGACGTGCATGTCTGCCCCTTCGCGGTAGTGGAAGCAGGAGGAAGGGAAGGGAAGCCACGGTGAGGAGCCGTAGCTGGTCTGGTATTCTGCCAGAAAGGACAATGTTAGTCTGAAAATGGGTTTCACCAAATTGTGCTTTCAATGGGTATTTGCTTAAAATTGAACTTGGTCATTAGCAGCTAATGTCACTTGATATTCAGCGAGTGCCGAGGGAAACAAATGATTCATGCTCTTCTTTCCACTTAATGTTTGCTCCTGTAGAGAGCGACTGTGTGCCCACCGGTCTCTATGTGCTTGTGAAGGCAAGTGCCCAAAAGTCCGGAAGAGGGTGACAGATCCTTAGCACCCAGAGTTCAGGCGACTGTGAGCTGCCTCCATGGGTGCTGGGAACAGAACTCAGGTCCTCTGCAAGAGCAGCAAGCCCTCTTAACTGCTGAGCCCTCTCTCCAGGCCTCTCTCCCCTTATTATTTTTAGCTTCTGCTTTCATTTTTATGGGCGATATCCTTAAGCCGATAAAATGTTAAGAAAAAAAAAAAACTAATCACCAGTAAACTTAAGTTTGAACAAATGTGTTTGTTGATATCTCTTTTTTTTGCTTGTTTTGTTCTGTTTTTTTTTTTTTTCGAGATAGGGGTTCTCTGTGTAGCTTTGTAGACCACAAACTCACAGAGTTCCGCCTGCCTCTGCCTCCTGAGTGCTGGGATTAAAGGCATGGGCCACTGCCATCCAGCTCTTCCTTGACTTCTTTCCAGCTTATTATTTACTTATTTTTCATTTACTCTTATTGTTATTATGGGTGTGTTTGGAGGATGCATAGCTGTTGTGCGCACACAGAGCTCAGGGAAGAGCCCAATGGATCTGGTTCTTCGCTTCCACTTTCACAGGGGTTCTAGGGAGTGAGCAAAAGACAGCAGACCTCCATGGCTGAGTGACAAGCACCTTTGTCTGCTGAGCCAGCCAGATCCTCTCACTGAACCCAGAGGGTAGGCCCGCGAGCTTCAGGGATCTGCCTGTCCCTGTCTCTCCACTACTGAGATCACAAATGTGCCATGGTGTCTGGCCTTTCCTTTACGACATCTTTAGTTGATATTAAGATGACCACGATGTTATGCGACTTAGTTTTTTTCTCTCACACAGAGTCGAAAGGGTATTGGCATGTGAGTGGCTTCTTTTCTTTGAACACTTGGCCTTTCAGTCCTTCTAGAGTTGGGATCTGTGGTTTGAGTGAACTAAGGGTTCGACGTTGTGCGATCTTTCCCATAAGGCATTTGTTTTCCAGTCTCCCCTTGATTTGGTACTGTCTTCTCACTCAAGCGGCACCACTGACCAGCAGTTTCCGTGTTTCTGTTTAGTTCTTTCTTTCTCTTACTGTCTCCCTCTCCATCCTCTTCTTCTCCCCTTCCTCTCTCCTCCCCTCCTTTCTCCTCCCCTCCTCTCTCCTCCCCTCCTCTCCTCCCCTCCTCTCTCCTCTCCTCCTCTCTCGGCACACACATTAATCTCTTCCATCTAAGCCAGTATGGTGATGCATGCTCATATATGAGCATTGGGATGTTGAAGCAGGAGACTCAGGAACTCAAAGCCAGCTTCAGTGATGTCATAAATTCTTGATCGGCTTGAGCTATGGGGGATGACACATACCTTTCCCTGATAAGCGATGTCTTTGAACTGAGGACTCATGTATGCATATGTAGATTTTAAGTGCTTGTTTTTCCACTAGATTTTGGACATAGTAAAATCAAGTATTCGTACAGTTCTTCCAAGAATCTGGAAGGTCCCTGATGCCGAAGAACTGAGTTTATACCGGATTTTCAACAAGGTGTTTAATCGCTTACTCTGGAGTCATGGCCAAGGACTGTGGAGTTGTTTCTGTGATTCAGGGTAAGTTGAAGTGATTTCCTTTTTTTGCTACTGCAATTTTAAATGTTTTACTATTAGTTACACAGGCAGACAAAGGACATGGATGGACATCTTTGTTAATAGTCTTTTAAAATGTGAATTTTTACTACTTATAATTGTAGTACTCAAGTATAATTTGTATCAATTAAGTTGATTTGTATAAATAAGTCAATAATGAGCCTTGGATTCAATGAGAGACCTTCTTTCCAAAAGTCAAGTGGAGAGTAATCAAGAAAGGGAGGGTACCACACCTCAGACTCTGCCCCCCATGCACACAAGCAGAAACACTTGCAGGACTTTTTCATGCACACAGAATATACATGCCATAGCACCCATACACACATATATACAGATATGTGCATGCACCTACACACACACATACACTACACTACACACACTCACTCACACACACACGCACACACACACACACTCACACACTTGTACATGCATAGGGATTTCTGGGCAGTCTTGACCCCAGTATTCCATTTACTTATTTTGTTATCAAGATCATTGCTTCAACTGCAGTGATTTTCCTCATCTGTCATCAGACTCTAAACTTGTCTACTGATACAGTCTGTCTACAATACCCATTCTAACCTTTAGCCTTTTCTCTTACTACTCTCCTGTTTGGTGTGTGCTCCATAAAAACACTTTTTTCAAATATCTTTAAAAAATCTTCCCATTTGGCATGATGTGAGACCTATGTAGAGGCCCAGAGTGCATGTATCTCTTTTGTAAAATCTTAACATCCTATTCTGTTCCAACGCTGAGTCATTCATGCCTTTTGGGGACCCCTTCACACTGTGCTTTCCCTCCTCCGCCATTCACTCGCAGAAGAGTACTCGGGCTTGCCATGCCATGTGATGATAGCCTTGCTATAGACACTCCTTCAGAGATTGACGTGAAGTATCTGACCTGTGTTCTATAACCCCCTCTCCCACCCAGTTGATGGCTGTCTGGAATGTTTCTGTCTGAACTCTTTGGTTTGGTTTGTTTGTTGATCCTCTAGCTTGGTTCTTCGTATGAATTTCAGCTCCTGCCAACCGTGGCGGGCTGTGAGAGAGTCTGCTGCTTATGTTAGTGCTGGGTATTTGCTATCGTCAATATCTAATGGTATACATCTGGTGACTTCATGACCACAAGGCTTTATTTCCTCACTCTTTTTTTGGTAACATATTCTGGCCTGACTGTGTTTCCTCTTCACCTGTCACTAACATAATACTCTGCAATTTTTTTTTCTGGTTGTGTCTTTCTCTCTAAATACTGACAGTAGTAGTAAGTCATGCTATTGATGACTTACCAAGCATAGGACAGCTGTTCGTATATTCGCCATAAAAAATGCCTACAGTAAACTGTTACCTTCATTTGACAGGTAAAGAAACAAAAACATGCACAGAACATGTGAGTCATCCAGGTTCCCATAGACATTGGGTGAGCTTCCGTTTACACCCAGGAAGTCTGAGGTGATCTCTCAGTGCAGGGCCTCGTTGGCTCTTTCCAGACACCTTTGCCATTGACCAGCATCTACCAAACATGCTTTCCACTTCAAGTCTCCAGCATTAGCTAAATCCTTAGCCAGGTGGAGGAGAAATACTCTGGAGTTCATTATAGCTGCACTCTTTTTTTTTCAGGCTGGTGGTTTTAGATGTTTAGCTCATGGATTTATTTGACTGATATACAAGTGAGCTTTGTGGGCTTTCGCGACTGTGTGAAGCCACGTGTTTGGCTGTTGTGTTGGGCCCTCAGTTTCGGCGGCAGCTGTGCTCACCACTATGCCACCAATGCCGTGCCTGGTCCTCAGTTTGGATCTTCCACAGTTCTATTGTGTCCTTTGAAGCTTTGCTTCTCCATCAGTATGCGTTCCTTTAACAGCTAGTCTGACAGCTAGGAAGTCGAGGTGAAACAAATCTAGTTTCATTTCTCAAGGAATGATTTTAATAAAAAGAAGGTTGCTTTCTTGCTCAACTATGTGGAAAATATTAGGCGAATAATTTAAATAACAATAGGACAGCTCCATTCCTGTCTTTATCTGTCAATACCCAAGAATAAGATGAAACGAGTAAGCCATCTTGTCTACCTCCGGAGACATTGAAAAAATATTATAAACCTTCCTTGTTGGTTTCAATAAATTCAGGCCAGGGCTTTTGTATCAGACAGCAAATATCCTGGTCCTTCTATTCTTAGATGCTTATGCCCAAGAACCTGTTCTATGTAGTTTGTTCTATGTATTTGTTCTATGTAGTCACCTGGGAGGGGTTTTTAAAAAGATATATATTATTTTTAAAATTATGTATATGCATTTTTTTCTGGGTATGTACATGTGAGTGTAGGTGAACATAAAGCCACAAAGAGAGCATTGGATCCCCTGAAGCTAGAGTTACTAGTGGTTGTGAGTTGCGCAGTGTAGGTCTGGGCTCCCAAGTGAGGTTCTCTTGGAAGAGCCCAAAGCATCCCTAACCACTGAGACCCTCTGGAAGGGTTTTGATGGTCCACATTCTGATTGTGGCCAGTCTCATGAGGAGTGTAGTTCTTGAAATTTTCTTAAATAAAATTACCTGCTGTGTTTTCCTGGGACAAGAGAATTCTAGATTTCTGTGGTCTCTAACTCAGAGGAGAGGGCTGTGGGTAGTAGCATTCAGTTGATGCCTGCAGGAAGAAGAGGTGATGGCCACACAAAGTAGCAAGGAAGAAGAGGGGGAGCAAGCCACCACGTGGTAAAGGAATTCACCAGCTGTCTCTGTACCCAGAGCAAGCGATTCTGGTTTGGACCTTTTAGGCCAAAACGTTTCTGTGTCATATGGAAACTTCATTATTTATTTTTAGGATCCTGGTTCAGAAATAAACTTTTAGAAACAGTCTAAAGGCACATTCTTGGGTATGTGAAAAGACGGAGACATACCTGTCCATTCATACGATGGAGCTGTCCAAGAGTTACTTTAACCGTTCTCTGTCTAATATTTTCCTTGTAGCTGAGCAAGAAAGCTTCATTCTTTTGTAGTTAAAAACTCATTCCTTGAGAAATGAGAAGACAAGATTTCGCCTGGGTTTCCTGGCTGTCAGACCAGCTGTTAAAGGCGTACACAGGGATGGGACAATGATTCATAGGACACAGTGGAACTGTGCAGGATCCAGAGTGAGGACCAAATACAAGTGGCTTCTCAGACTGTGCTAGTTTCAGGGTTTGAACTACCACGGTTTGGAAAGACACATGCATAAAATGTAAACGTTGAGTGGCATGACCCTGTTCCTTCACAGCTCTCCCATTTGGCTGTGTTCATAATACGCCTTTAGTGTTCAAATCCACTCGCTTGACGGACTTGTCTAGATTTTTAGATAGGCAAAGCAAAATGGTCCTTTCGTTCTCCTTTATCTGTACATTTAACCATCAGTTAGATTTGCTTCCAGGGCACAAAGGAATAAATTATTTCCCTTCTTCAGATAAGTGATTTATTAAAGTTTTCATGAGGAAAAGGGTGAAGTGGTTGGATTATTGAATAATAAGAGGACTTTCTAAGCCTTGGGTTTTCATTAACCCCTCTTTGTTGTGAAGAGTATTCAGGATTTTATCCCTTGTCATTATGTCACTAAAAATGTCATCTAAAGCCATCCCATTTAATATTTCTCTGAGGATTAGGGAAAACCCAAAGGAACTGTTTAATCGTTTAATTTTTCTTTTAGAGTTCATTGATGTCAGTGCTTTTATTCCCTTTGAATTTAGATTCAGAGAGCATGCAATAAGACCCTGGATTCTTTGATTTGAAACCACTGGTATTTTTTAACTCTTCCTATCTCCTTTTGTTCAAAACAAAACAACATAAATCAGAACCAAACAAACACCTCTGTGCTGTTGCTTTGGCACAAGGAGAGCAAAGGAGCATTTCATGTATACCCTTGATGGCAGGCGCTAGCTGAGGTGTGCACAGGGTTGAGGATCATTGCTTTCCTGTGTGCACAGGGCTGAGGATCATTGCTTTCCTGTGTGCACAGGGCTGAGGATCATTGCTTTCCTGTGTGCACAGGGCTGAGGGTCATTGCTTTCCTGTGTGCAGGCTCTGGTAGCCTCAGGCTACAGGGCTGGGGTCTTACTCATTTTCTCTTATGAGGGGTTTTGGCATGCTGGTACTAGAATATGACTTAATAGGGTAGAACCAAGTGTTTTGCCAGTGATATTGCATTTACGCACAGGAAGTGTGTCTAGGACATTGGTTCATACATTTATCTTGAGAAGAGAATGATAGATCAGCCAAAGCTGTTCTCCTTTAAGCAGGAGGCAGCCAACTGGCTAGCCATGCATGGTCGGTAGCACCAATGACCTTAGAGACAAACTTCACACATTGTGCAAAAAAGTTACATCAAATTGAAATGAAGAAATTCCTTTATTTTTCTTCCATATTGATTCTTCCTCTCTCCCCTCTGTATCCCATGGTCAGTCGAGAAAAGACAACCTTGATGTGAGAGACCTGGTACAGATCTAATCAAATGTTTCGAAGTATAAAAAAAGTAAATAATGCTGTTCAGAGTAGAGGGTAATGAGGGAGTTAGAAGTCCATAAACATCAGAATCCCAACAGAGAGGGCCAGATGGGCAGCTGAAGTAGAGGGTGCTTCCTACGTGTATTCAGTCATACACAATTTTATATCTTTCAGCTCAGACATTTAAGGTCTATTATATCATGCATATTAAATACAAACATAAATGATAATTATCTTCTCTAGTGTTTTTTTTTGCTTCAGTTCGGTAAGTTAATTTTATATCTGTAGCTATATGTCTTAATAACATACATATATTATTAAAAGTTTAGTAGTAAATTTTGAGTTAATTGAGCTAGTACCTAATTGTTTATGGATCAGAAATATTTATGCCTTTGTTAAGGAAAAAGTATTATATTTAAACCTTAGAATTCCAAACCCAGAAGAAAGTCCATTGCTTTCAATTAACTCACTTGAGCTCTATCCCTGTAAGAAAATAAAATCTGTCATTTGCTGATGACATGTTGTCCTCTTGGATCATGTTTCTCCTGAGGAAATAAACAGTAGTCTTTTCAGGGAAAACAAAACGAAACAACCTCAACACTTTGAAGTGTGTAAATAATTTTTTATTCAAAATATATAATATAGCAAAGAAGGTTGAAAATTGAGTCTTTGGATTTTCCTTTTGGGATTTTTTTTGGGAGGGGAGAGATTTTTCCTTTATATATATCTGAAAACCTGTTCTTTCCCCTTGAGGATTACAAAATGGGCTTTTATAAAAGGAGACTTGAATCATTACAAAATTTCAAGCCACTTTCCCCTAAGGTTTAAAAAGAGTTATCCTTCCTCCATCCATGCTGAGGTATTTCTGGTGAAAGCCATGGATGGTAACTTGGGACTTGATAACAGTAACACAAACAAACATGGTCACAAGCCTTGAGGCTTTCCAGGGACTTGTGAACTGTTCCCACTTTGGAATCATTTCCCTGGAAGAGGAAGGACACCAGCTCCTATTGTGGGAGGTAAGTATCTGTTGGTGTGACTGACATCTCTGTAAGAGTATACCCCTACATTAGAGGAAGCATAAGGGATGGATAATACGGAGAGTATTTTGAAAGCAGTGTTCATAATCAAAGGGCCAAATTGAGTTTCCTTGAGCAGGGCAGCCATAAATTAAATCACAATGACTTTATATCTCTTGTGTCTAGTATCATGCTAAATATAGAATTTAAAAAAAGCTAATTTCCTAGAATACCTAAAATTTGAGAAATTAGTCAAATACTTTGATATGGAATAGCTTTGTTTATGAAATTGGGAATGAGTCATTTTCTCAGCTATCCAGGTTGGTAGCACTAATGGCCATGAAGACAAATCCTACAATAATTCGATTTTTTCTAAATGATAATTAACTTCCTAATTTGCATTTGTTATAAAACCTTCATATTCATTACGTATATGAGAGGCCATTTCTACCTTGTTTCCCAGTCTGTTGCTAGATAAATGATCTAGCTGGTTGCCATTCTTACCAGTGAACACCACGAAGTCATGTCTGTTTCCATGCCAACAGATCCTCTTGGGAGAGCATCTTCAGTAAGAGCCCAGAGATGGTGACTCCTCTGCAGCTCCAGTGCTGCCAGCGCCTGGTGGAGCTCTGCAAGCAGTGCCTGCTAGTGGTTTACAAGTACACCACCGAAACAAGGGGGCCCATCTCAGGCATTGGCTCTGACTGGGGTAACTCCAGGTAGGTCTTACATTCTCAGTTCCCCGTGAGCTTTGTGTAGACATGTAGCATGCAACAGTTTGAAATTGAGTCTCTCTCTTTTTCTTTTCTTTAAATTGGGCATCTTTAGTGCTTATATACCTAGGGGATCATCAAAAACTGAAAATACATCCATTCTCTCGTCAACAAAACAGCTTTCATTGTTACAGTCTTTGTCTTTAAGAAACTGAACAGCAGTCATAAACCCGAAGGGGATAGGTGTAATGCGGTTGGAAATAAACATATTTGGTTTATACATTTCTTGTTTCCAAAACCTGAGTAAGAGTACTGCAAAACGTTGGGATTAAAATTAACTATTTTTAGGCATTTCAGCATTCATTCCTGATGACAATATGGTTTAGAAGATACATTTGGGGTTAATTTTATTATTCAGCATGCCTTTACCAAGACATTGCCACACCAATAAGTAGGAGATGAATTTTTCTCAAGTTGCAGCTCAGCATCGAGTTTCATGCATGTCCAGTTAAAACATGTAGTTTTCTAACACTAGGAAACACAGTAACAAGAAGTAACTATCAGGCCGCAAAAGCACAGAATAAAAAGTAGACCATTTTAGAATGTTCCGGTACGATTACAGTTCCTATTAGCATTGGAGATGAACTAAAACTTTCGGGTGTTTGTTGAAGCTTGGATTAGTGACAGGAAATTGAACACAGAGTTTTTACACAGGACAGGCAAGTTCTCTAAGGGCCAACCTACGTCCCCAGCCTTTATCACTTTAGTTTTTACTACACGAAAGTTGTAGTGTCACTTAAAGTAGAAGAAAGTGAGAATGAAAATGAAGCCATAGTTTAAAAAAAAGCCAGGAAGTAGGTTAAAAAGTAAAGAGTGAACAGAATCGCTAGAAATAGACACAGTAAGACGGTAGCAGGGAGGGCCCCGAGCCCACGTTCCACCACGGTGACCTGGAACCACAGAGCGGATCAGAGTGTTTTTCTGTGTCATACCCCATAGCTGCTTCAGGTCTTGTATTTCCTTTCTAATCTTTGTAGACAGGAGAGACATCCATGGTCATGAAATCTTGAGATCTGGACTTCTAAGACATGCTCAGATGAGCCTGGGGTCTAAGCATTGTGGTGTGTCAGTAAAAGCGTAAAAGTTAGTAAGGGGACTTCAAAATCTATACTAGCGAAATGATGTAGAGGACCCCAGTGAATTTTCTAATACTGAATTACAAGATCAAACTTACCCTCTTCACGGCAGAGTTGGGGCAACATGAAGTTTCTACTACCACTACCTAAGATAGTTTAGTTCCTTCTATGAGGGCTGGGGCTCAAATGAGCATGCCCCTTCCCTACAGAAGGTCTGAGCCAAGCAGGCTTTTATCCTCCCTTTAAATCCAGTAGTCGGATAATGCAGTTCTTTAGAGGCCAGGACGTTCACACTAGTGGGAGTTAGCTCTTCACGGGAACCTGAGAAATGGAGGGAAAGAAGCTCGTTTATGCAATGTCACACCGATGGGGGAACATCAGTTTTCTCACAGGGAAATGAACCTATAGCATTTTACTTTATAGAGTTTAGCATTTAATGGATTGATTGCTTTTATTTATGAAGTATACCTGATAAAATAGTCACGTGACTGTATATATATATATTTATAAATTAGTTACAAGTACTAGTATACATTAATATGAATATAGCATGTGAATTCATGGAATTCATGCATCTATGAGGAGATGTATCTTTGGATATTTTATTTAAAAACCAAAGGAGAGGCAGTTGGCATCACCCAGTTTTATAAACCCATGCATGCATCACGTGTCCCTGAGTGATATTTCCTAAGAGGTTTACATATTATATTGGAGACAGTGGTTTCTGGTCTTGCAACCTTACAGGAATAGCATGTCAATAAAAAAAGACACAGCACAAACTCATCTCATGATAGGGAAGCCATTAGAGTTGTTGTAGAAACTGAGGTATTCATTTAGAAATGTACACATCTCTATGCACTCTTCGGGATATGAAAGTTTGGGACCAGCCTGATGTCCTATTGTACTAAGATTAGTTGCTAAACTGTGGATTCTCCAATTGCTTTTAGATGTTCAGGCTTTTATGGGTTCACTACCAACCTATCTTGAGAATGGAAAAGGAGAGAACTTAGTTTCTCTTTGTTATAAGACTACTTACTGGGGATGGAGAAATGGCTCAGCAGGTAATTGCACTGACTCCTCTCCCGGAGGTCCCGAGTTCAATTCCTAGCTCACAACCCTCTGTAATGGAAGCTGATTCCCTGTTCTTGTGTGCATGAAGATGGTTCACTCACATATAAAATAAATAAATATTCTTTAAAAGCCTACTTATCTGCCTTTGATACCAAAAACCAAACAGAGCTTTCTTAGCAAAGAGAAACAAATGTTCATTCTAACCTATCAACATGTATGTAAAATATGAAGCAATGTATTAGCAAATTGAAACAATTTTAGCTAAGGTAATCCTTCATCCAACTTCTGCTTATTGGACATTGGGGATAGGTTCCATAACCTGAAGAAGAAATAATTGAAATTTTTTTTGTTACCTAATGGAATAGAAGGTATATAGAGAGAGGGCTGGCATGTGACTCAGAGATAGGAGTGTTTATGGTAGGTGTGGCAGGTCCTGGGTTTGATCCCTGGCATTGTTCCATGTGCCAGGTACAGAAAATTCACTTTACCAAATTCAGTTATACTTGTGAATAGAAAACTGTTTAGCCAGAAGCAGCACGTTCAAGCCATCCAGGGTTACGTGAGACCCAACCCAGGGCAAAAAGCAAAATATAAACAAAAATAAAATGTGACACACATTTTATGTGAATCCCTACAACTTCCAGGGGGGAAATCTGACCACTTAATGGAAACTTGGGGATGATAACTTGGAAAAGGGGGCAATAAACATTTGAAAATGTATATAAGCAATAGTATTCAAGTAGTAGAACAAAGAATCTTCAACTCCGCACTTCAGGACCTACCGAGAGCATTGCCTTCATAACAGGAAGCAGCGAAAATGGGTGACAGTTCGACATTTCATACTGAACTCCATTTTCATAGCCATTGTGCCAGTAATTTTCCCATAGAAATCTATGCATGTGAACACAAAGACCCTTACTACAGTGGTCATGGCACAATTCATACATGATACTTTAAAAAATTAGAAACAACCTAGGAGGCCAACAGAAGAGCATGTTTTCTATAATATCACACAATGGAGTAGTGTTCAGTATTGGTAAGGAAAATGGTTTACCTGCATATACAGGGACAGAGACTCAAATATAAAATGGATCAGACTTACCCACTTACAAAGGAAATATGCATTTTGTTTGAGTGTTGATGCAAATAAAGAAAACTGTGTTCAAGGAAGATGGATTTGGGTGGAAAATAAGGATGTAAGTACCATAAAGGTCCAGATGAGCTTAACTTCATGGGGGAAAGGGAGACTGTCACTCTGAGCTCAGGGAGTCTACAGATGTTCAGCTGTATAATGTGATGTTTATACAAGCAATAGCTTCAGAATGTCTATTAAACTGACTGTCATGTTCAGTACTCTTAAGTTTCAAGCACACAGTGCCATTAATGACCTGAAGCTACAACAGTGCTTGTTTATCTGAGACAAAGGATGGTCTTGCTGATGTTCTTGACACATCAGCTATAAGCATTTATGTGTACTCTTGTTGGCCCTTGGAGATAGGCAGGACGTAAATTTCTTGTTTTCTTGAGAGTTGAGGAAACAGGCCCGGGAGGTCTCACATTAGCAGCATGTGACAAAGTGGGCATTTGAAAATAGGCCTTGTCTCCTTGCTTTCCAAATCAAAGTGGAAACGACAACGTACCTCATAATGGATGGCTGCTGTCACGTACTCTACACACATGCTGGCAGAGATGTAGAGCTGGGGAGCACAGGCTCTGCTGCTGAGGTTGTGAAATGGTGTGGCTGCCATGGAATAGGGCTTGGCAATGTCTCAGGAAAGCTAAATACAAATGCACATAGGACTCCGAAGTGACCACCCTGAATGTAGGCCCAACGGAACTGAAGCCAGGCACCCCATATGCACAGTGGCATTTGTTTAATAGAAGCTAAGAGGTGTGACAAACTTAACTGTCTGCCAACAAGTGAGTGTGTAAGAACAGCGTATGCTCACACAATGGACTGTTAGCTATGAAACAAAGAAATCCAGTTCATGACACAAAAGGAGAAGGGTTGTAAACATGCCGAGGTCATAAGCAGACACAAAAGGGCATTTGCGATCCTATCTGTAAGTGTAGCAGTTAGGAATTAAAAGTGAAGTTCCCTGGGTTCCTTTTTTGTTTTTTGCAAATTGTAAAATACCTTTTTTCACATAGTATATCTAATCGTGCTTTTCATCTCTCCTAATTTTTTCCAGATCCTTCCCACATCCCTACCCACCGAAATTTATATTTCTTTCTTTCTTTCTTTCTCTTTAAGAAACAAACAAAAACAAAATACACGAACAAAAAGCCAAGGAACACAAACAGAAAATCCCACAAAAATGAAAACCAAAATATACAAGCAGAGCAGTAAGAAAGGAAAGGAAAGCCCAAAGAAAAGTGAAGTGAAACAAAAAGTCAAAAAGTCAACAAAAATATCACTGAGTTTATTTTGTGTTGGCCAACTTGACTCCTGGGTATGAGGCCTACCCTGAAATGTGATTAATACACCCAGTGAGACTCCATTAGAGAAAACTAATTTTTCCATTGCCAGTGGGTATCAGTTGTGGATAGCTTCTTGGTCAGGGGTGGGACTCTATGTTCATCTTCCCCTCTCAGTGCTGGGACCCCCATCTGGCTTAAACTTGTCCAGGCTGCATGCATGCTGTCACAGCCTCTGAGCTCATCTGTGCACCAGTCCTGTTGTGTCTGGAAGACGCTGTTTCCTCAGAGTCATTCCTCAGTCACCTCTGGATCTTGATGGCCTTTCTGTCTCCTCTTCTGTGCATTCCCTGAACCTTGAGGGGAGAGGGTTGATGATGGAGAAAAGATAGCATCTTCAGCAAATGGTGCTGCTCAAACTGAATGGCTGCATGTGGAAGATTGCAAATAGAATCCTGTATATCATCCACCCTGTGCAAAACCCAACTCCAAATGAATCAAGGACCTCAGCATAATACAGATACCCTAAACCTGGCAGAGGAGAAAGCAGAGGTTAGACTTGAAGTCATTGGCACAGAAAAGGACTTTCTGAACAGGATATTGATATCATAGGCACTAAATCAACAGTTAATAAAAGGAATCTTAGAAGCTGAAATGTGTCAAAAGACAGTCAATCAGACAAAGTGGCAGCCTATGGATGGGAAACTATCTTTACCAATTGTAAATCTGATACAGGGTTAGTTTCTAATCATATAAAGAACTAAAAAGGCAGAACATCAAGAAGACAAATAGCCTAGTTTTAAAAATGGAGTACAGAATTAAGTAGTCAGTTCTTAAAAAGAAAGAAAGAAAAGAAACACAGATGGATAAAATATCGCTTAAAGAAAACATTAAGTATCCATAGCAATGCAGGCAATGCAAATTAAAGCTACTTTGAGATTTCATTTTAGTACAGTCAGAATGGCCACGATCAATCAAGCAAGTGGCAGCTCATACTGTCAAGGCTGGCAAGCAGGGGTATCATGTATTCATGGCTGGTGGGTGTGCTAACTGGTATAGCCACTATGGAAATCAGTATCATGGTTCTTTGGGAATCTGGGAATAGATGTACCTCAAGGTTCAGCTATACCACACTTGGGCACGTATCCAAAGGACTCAGCATCCTACTACAGAGATACTTACTCATCCATGTTCATTGCGGATTCATTTGTAATAGCCAGAAGCTGGAAACAGCCTAGATGCCCATCAACTGATGAATGGATCAGGAAACCATGGCACATTTTCACAGTGGAATACTATTCAGCTGTTACAAAAAAAATGAAATCATTACATTCACAGGTAAATGGATGGAGTTAGAAAAAAAATCATCCCAAGTGAGACAACTGAGACTCCCAAAGATGAATATTGTATCTTTTCATTTATATTTGATACTTGCTTTTAAGCCTTTGATTGGCATGCTAGCATCCAAATAACCACTGTGGTTAGGTACCTGGTGAGGGACTAGGGAAGACGTGAGCATCTCCCAATAAAGGTCTAAGTGTTTGGCTTTACAGCTTCCAGGAAAATGCTCTCATTGCTGAATTCCTGAGCCCAAGCTGAGGAGGTGAAACTAGGAAAAATAATAGGTGTAGAGTTTCTTCTTGAGATCATGACCGTGGTCTACACTTGCAGGTGTTATGTAAGATTAATATACTTGACACACTGAGTTTTATATCCAAAGGTTATTTCTGTCATGAAATTCAAGACAGTAAGAAAAATCCTCCAAAAGCACAGGGCACATAGTCTGTTGAATTTTATTTACCCTGCAGCCCTCAAACCAGGAATCTGGGTTTACCTGAAGGAGTTCCGGGGACCTTGTCCTACTACAGGAAGATGCTGGAAGGGGAGTGTCACTTAATGTTCAAGGAAAAGTCCCTATCAGTTTTAAATTATTGATATTCTGGGGATCATCAGAAGTAGCAATAAGATAGCATATGAAGTTCTATACCAATCTGGAATTTTATGTGAGTTATGCATCTACATGGTGGGGATGTAAGAATGCACATACCTTGCCTAACATATGAGGGGTGTGGCCATGGGTGTGAAGTGAATGGAGATAGTCTGACATATTGCTTTTGGGTACAAGTTAGCTGTGAGTTATTTTGACACAGCAAAAATAATCCAGGAGAAAAGCTGTAAACTTCTTCGTATTTTGGTGCTTATACAAAGTCTTCAGATATAGTCTATAAATTCACTTCCTTGAGACAGTCTTCCTGCCTAAAAAAAAAATCAAATTGTATTACTTAACTCCAATGCAAAGAACAATTTAAAAGTAATCTTTGCTGTTCAGCTACTGGAGTCCCCCAGGAGATATTAGTAGAGACTTCAAGGCAAATAACTATTGCATTTCTCCATAATGCCTTGCAATACCCACCGCATTTGCTTTAGGAAAGCAGAGTGTTTTCCAGTATAATCTCATATACTGTTTCAAGTTCATATCACACTTCTCCTTTCAAGTTCAAAAGAACACTTTCTTACTAAACTTCCACTATTAGAAAGTTGGGGTTTGTGGCATGTATACCCACTGTACTTCCTGGGTTATTTTATACTTCATGTTCCTGAAAGTATTAATATAATAATTGGAGACAAGTTTCAAAATGGGAATTTTGTGTACAAGTGTCTGGACTTGTCATGACCAAAGAATGCGGTCCTTGAAGAGCAGCAGTGCCGTAGATGGGCCCAGGCTCTGAGACCTGCCAAGTCCCTTCCCAGGTTTTGTGACCAGCAGAGAGACAGTTGGCTGTGTGTGCTTCATACAGTTTATTTATCTGTAACATGCTGCTAACTGCGCTGTTTACTTAGATAATTATTAGAATAATGTATATTGACATTTATAAAAGTTGGCCTATAAAATCCTATATAAATTATTGTTGAATATAAATACATTACATAGGATTCTGTACTTTGTGATTTTATTTATTTATTTTTTCATGTGCAAAAATGGAGCTTAGAGTTTTTGTGAGGCTGGGTATGATATCCCGGCACTCCCGAGGCTGAGGACGGGGCAGGGGGTGGGGTAGATCACTGGTTCTAGAACTACTGAGAAACAATAGAAATGTTTTTGTGCATGCTACTAAATTAGTGTCAATAGTACTGATTTACTGGAAATTAAAATTTTAATTGGGGGATTGTAAAGATAGTTCAGTGGATAAAATATTTGCTCCGTAAGCCTGAAAACCTGAATTTAGATCCCCAGAACCCACATAATAGCAAAACCTCAGCAGGTGTAATGGCGATGTATAATTCCAGAACCCAGGAGATAGGGGATGTTTGGGACAAGCTGGCTAGTTGGACTTGGTGAGCACACGTTCAGTGAAAGACCCCGTCTCAGTAAAGGAAGTGGAGAGAAACTCCTGACATCAGCTTACACTCATTCATGCTCAGGTGACCTCAGGCATACATGTACACCACATACATGTATAAAGTTTCATAGAAGTTGCTGTTTACTGTGTCAGCCCTGATGCATTTTCCACAGAACCTAGAATATCCCCCACCTCGTGTGGACTAGTGGATTTCGATCAAGCACCTTAGTTCATTTGCTCCTTGCCCTACATAAGAAGGGGCGCTTTCCCATGGCAAAGGTATCACATTAATCATTAGGACTTTGCCAGCACTTGACATCATAATTAATCCATATAAATTACCCTAGTGATATTAAGAAAATAATTTATATAATCTGTGATGTGAGAAATCAGTTGTTTCATTATTCATCAACCATTCTGGAGTTTTGATTTAATTTAGTTTGTTGTGTATTATTTTACTGCTCTATTAACTTAATGATCGGCACAATTATTTATAGTTTGTGATATTAGGTAACAGATTTAGTAGGTATTATCATTCATGATGAAATAATGTTTATGGATATTATGGAAAATTCTATTTTAATCTGAATGCTGTTTGCAGTTTGATTATAATGAATTCTTTTCTTTCTCTAAGATTCACAAGAAACAACTGCAAATTTAATTTCCCATTAATATAGATGTATCCTCAGCATTGTTGCACATAGATATGTGCATGCCTGTGCCACATAGGCAGCTGACAGTTATTACCCCTCCCTTTGTTTCCTATATCTTTATTTATGATACTGTCTAGAGGGTTCCAGTGTCCAAAGAAGGACGTGAATCAGTTGACACTCCCATGTCATTTATTTTTCCAAGACCACAGCTAATCATTGGTCTTCTGTTGTTGAACATCCATCACAGATATCTTTGTCCTGACTTTACAATACATTGCTCTTCTCATTACTACAACATAGGCTTATTTATATACTATGGTTAATTTCCATTTATATTTATAAATTTCCTTTGCCATTCAACTCTAGACCTATAGATTAGAAAATATGGGTGCCCAACTCATATGTAACTCCCCGTTTCCAAAGCTTGGCATTGAAAACAATAAAACAAATAAACAAAAACATGGTCCAGTTTATTGGCAAATTAGACCTGAATTAGCACATAAATTTACTTGTAATTTTCAGTAATTGTAAATATTCATACTTTTATTATATAAAAATTCATGCTTTGTTTCCAGAATGTTGGCACTTTGATGAATAAATACACATGTGGGAAACACACACATGTATGCATATATATTACCCACATATATATGTATACTACTGTATACATATACTATCTTTGTCTTTCTAAAATCTGGGGAAAATCATATATTTGGAAATACATTTGGCTTCATGGCTACATCAATCTGTAACCATAAACACTGAATTTTCTAAGAATACAAAGTATCCAATTAAGAATGTTTTAGATGAACTATAGTTGTAATGGAGACATTATACCATTAGGATCCATAGTTCTATATCTTTGAAATAAAAGCTATTATTAATGTGGATTGCTAAATTTTCCATGAATATCACTGGTTCTTGTATCAAGTTTTAAAGAGATATTTACCTGGCTCCACATCTCCACATGTTACCTACAGGCACTGATGATGAATTTTAAGTTCATGTGAACCAACAAAGCAGTCACGTGATGTTTGAGAGCAATGATGACAGCATGTCACGGGATACTATTTCCATATGTTGTGTGTGTGTGTGTGTGTGTGTGTGTGTGTGTGTGTGTTTAACTACCTGAAGCTTGATCTTAAGATGGAAATTTTTGTATGAATTGTATTGTTGTGATAGTCACGGTTTCAGACAGGGATTGGTAAATAGTTTGTATAATTCTTTCATGAATGACATTGACATTTAAGTTTTTGCAACGACCTAATTTTGTAACTATCTTTTTTAGGTATTTGCTACCAGGAAGTGCCCAATTCCTCATGAGATCACAACTGTACAACGTGAAATATAATGCATCCGGAATGACTCGCTCCAATGTTTTGTTTACATCCCGATATGGCCATTTGTGAGACTGAATGGAAGATTGCCATGGGCTATGCATAATAGCAATTCATTCATTTTTCTCCAGTTGAACCTTAAGGAAGTGACCCTTATGTGCTGTTTTATGTATATATGTCATACAGGTGTGTGGGCTACATACACACTTGCGCTCAAGTAACATATAAATATATATATTTATTATGTGTAAGAAAAATTAGCAGAAAACTGAATATAAGATTTAACCTTTCTGGAAATGTAATAAACCATGTTAAACTTGTTTACACAAATATGCAAATGTGTGGAATTTGCTAGGTTTATACGTAATTGCTTCCTACTAGAAATGTTATTTTTGCTGCAGAGTGTATAAAGCAGACTTGATCTTGAAGATCCCATCACAGTGTTAAATTATTTTCTAGATAACACAGCTTTGACTTCAGAAAGCACTAATAGTATCGTATTACTTCTCTCACTCATAGTAGCTATTTAACAGCGAAACACAGGAGACTTAGAAACCTGGGGTTGGCTTAGTGATAAGATTAGGATAAAACGGGGTTGTTGTTACTATAGCACACTGTGACTTACTAGAAAATATCCCGGCCTGACTCTCCAACGTTTTATTCCCCATACGGAAATTTAGCTACTTGTTCTAGTGTATATTTTCAATAAAGATCCGATACAATTACGGCGTGATCTAAAATGGGAGACATTCCAGTGGACTAAGAACAAAATGAAAACTTGCTTTAATTTGGCTTCCCGTGGGGAGTCACATAGAGAAACAAGGTGTTGGTGATGATAGAGCCTTAGCTGTGTGACGTTGGGCCTCGACGCACTCACTTTTCTTTGGAAAGTAGATCATTGATGGGTTGAAGGATCTCAATGTTGAGACCAGTTTACCTTGCAAAGCCTAATGATAGTGGTTTCTCATTTCACCGCAGAAAAAACATTCTAAAGACTCTTAAGAGGACTCTGCACTGAGCACATGTCACTATTCATGGGCTGGTGTGCCTGCCCTCCACACAGTCTCTTCTTCAGTGCTCAGTAGGGCGTTGTCTTTCTGTCCAAAGGCATCATGCATGTGTTTCTCAGCAGCATTCTCCCATGCCCCCTTCTTCTTACCTGTGGTTAAAAACCACTGTGTGTGGTGTGTCCGTTCCGTCTCCCAGTCAGATATAGACAGCACAGCCGTGGATTTTTAAACTCAGGAAGTGTAATATTTGCTCAAACTTATGTCCAAGGGTTTTACTCACAGAAGCTAAGTATTTGGAAAACCACCATCTCTTACCCTAAGATCTATTCCCAGTCAATGAAGAAATGACTCCAAAGAAGCCATAGTGAGAGCCCATCTGTCGCAAATTCATTCAAAGTTGGGCCAATGGTGACCCAAAGTTGTAAGGTAGATGTACTTTATTTTTAAGACTACCTTTGGCGAGTGCGTTTTTCCTGTGATACTCATTTCATACACAAACTACCAGTAGCTGCTTTGCTTCTGCGTGGCAGCCTATCATGCACATTCCATCAGATACTTTTCTTACCGGCTACATCCCACACAACTTTGTCTTGTGTTTTCAAAAAGAGAATAAAGCCTCTAGAGGAAGAAAGTGTGGGATTTAGGAATCCATATCGTGAATTCTTAAATATGGTATATATTTCTTAAAATTAGTGATGTAAATATTGAAACACTACAGAATCTTTTTGGGAATAATCAACAAATCAGTCCCTTTTATGGTTTACTTGTAGTCATCTTTGTTTTCAATTCATGATTTAAAAATCATGGAGAAATAAAAGAACATAAAAGTCATGGAGATATGTTTTAAAGTGATTGGTAAATGATACCAACCCAGTGTGTTGGTCATTCACTTCGTTTATCTTAAATCACAGATGATTAATTAGAGTGTATGCTTTGGGACTTCTGTCTCATACAAGAAAGGAATTTTTATTTAAAAAAAACAATGAAATTGGAACCATCCCACATTAGAAATTCTCACCCTGGAAGCACACATTAAAAACCAAGAGTAAATTTAAATGCATAGAACTGCCAAGTATTTGGTGAACAAACATCATTTCCCTAGGTACTCAAGCAAGGCCTTATTTTGAGCACTAGGATTTCATTGCCTACATTTCCTGTTTCAACTAGCTGGATACAGTGAAGTTGTGCAGAAAGCCATGTGCTCATTACTTATGTGCATTACCTGGTGTGCTGTGGACTGTGGTTGTCATAGCACCATCCCCTAATGAGCAGCTATGAGAAGACATGATAATGAACCATGCAAATCTCAGGAGGCCATAGACAGGTATTAGAGGTATAAAATATTCCCTAGTTTTGTTATCCGTTTCTTAAGCGTATGGTTAAAACATATCTGCATAAGATACAGTGTAAATATCTCCTTTGTAGTAGAGAAAGCAAACCAGAAAATACTTAATCTCATCAGGGTTTTATTTTTATTTTTATTTTAGAATGGATTTTGGTTTACTTACAAGGGTAGAGGATAGGAATAGACAGGCTGCCCTAGTCATTTGGTTCCTCTCAAGGTTGGAATGCTTCCCCAAACTGTAAGATATGAATTTTTCCAAATTGTCCAAGTAGTAACTTGTTTGTTTTATATCATTACCTACAAGCATAATCTAAAGTCGCAATTTAGTTTTCACTGGAGTAAGACAACCTTGTGGGTTTGAATGTATTGAAATACTCTATTGTAATTCATTTACTTTGCATGAACTTTATTTTGTTAGATTTCATTTATCTTTAATATGTGAACATAAAGTTTTAAATGGAGCACAGAGTTAAGCAACTCTGCTATCTGTAAGGATTTGCCTAAATGAGATCAAATCCCCTAGAGTTTCCATGACTCCTCATCTCTAGAGTTAAACTAAACCCAACCAAAACCAAATGCTTTCTTTTACCCAATATTTATGCACACACAGAAAATGTGTGGCTCCTAGATTTCCAGAAAATGATTCCATTCCATTTTCTCTTTAGCTTGGAAAACAGATTGAGTATGGGATTATTCTGATTTGAAATTTCAGATGTTTGTCTATAAATTTAATGCTTTCTTCTTTAACATGTCAGTGTCATTCTGTGTAAACATTATCTTCAAATTTAAACATATGCAATACACACTATTCAAAATACCAAAAAGATAGCAGCATAATGCCATTATTTAATCTCTAATGCACTGATTCATTCTTAAATATATAGTCTTTAAAAGATAGTGAATACCTCAAGAGTGAAAGGAAACCCTTCCCTTTCTATTTAGCAATGCTACTTTGTATTCAGAATCTCATGTGCTTGGTTATGAGGCTTCGCCAACAATAAAAGGGGTAGATGTACAATTGTGTTACTGTGAATTTGCGATGTGGGGGCATTTTCTCTTCTCTTTAAATTGAGAGCTTCAAGTATAAAGGACCATGTTGTCTACATATTGATGATTAGATATCCAACTATTGTCTGGCTAATGTTGGCTTGTAAATAAATGAAAACTGTAGAAATATATTCATAAAGAAAACTTGATTCCCCACACTGCTTCCTCTCTCTCCTACTTTCGTTCTTCAAATCCCCCTGAAGCTTTAGATGTGCAATGGACAAAGTAAAGGAAAAGAGAAATCTTGCGTTCTAAACATTGGTCTTCCTTGAATTCTTATAGTGGTGTGTTTTTTACCCCTAAGAAACAGCAAAACTTCAATGAAATATTGGGTCAAGTTCTGTTTGCTGAGAACTTTAGGAACAAGGTTGAGGTCTGTACACCTAAAACCCATGAAGTCTCTGTGAAGTGTGAGACACATGGTAAGAGTCTTACAGTAGAAACGGATGTGTTGAAATAGCACACATTGAGATTGCTGCTAATTTTGGGGGGTCTGTCGTGAGGTGGTGTTTGGTGTATTGGAAGGGATGTGCTCAGGTAAACATTGTGATGCTGAGGGGTTGATCATCTAGGAAGAGCTGCATAATACTCCTGCTTTATGACCACCTGTGAACTCGAAAGCTCTTCTGTGGGCAAACACATCACTCAACAGACTAACCAGTCTTAATAAGAAGGCTTGCCTGTGACAAGTGGTCAAATACTTACTCTGTTTCTACCCAAGGCTAACAGCCATTCTGACCCCCGAGTTCATATAGCAGTGACTGTACATACCCCAGCATCTGAATTTTAATGGACTTGCAGAGGAGTCTGAATTTGAGGGTGAGAGAGTCCATGAATGTTGGGTCAGACTACGCCTGTGTGATTTACTTCCTGTATGTGAATACAAATGTTACAGAAGATGCACTTGAAATGTCAACAAAATGTGCAGTTGGCATTGCCATGGCATGCTTTAGCATGTGACACCTGTATGGAGAAATTACTTCAATTACTCAGATATGTTACTGTAATAAAAATGTCAACACAAGAAGTTTACAATATGTCATCATTTGATCTGTTTTTACACATGCACACCACACAAACACACACACACACAGACACACACATACATTTCAGTAGGAGCAGAGAGTGGCACCCAGTTAAGTAAAATGAATTAAGCTTTCAACTTAATGAACATATTTTCATAGTAACTTTTTGCTGCTGTGTATCAACTTTAGGGGGATAGGGATAGGGTTACTTGCTACTAAGAAACAACCCAAGAAAATAAATTTGTTGTTGACTTCACTAGGTGGAAGACAAAGTGTTCTGTAAGTTAGTAGCAACAGTTTACTATGATTATATATTAAATTATCTCAGGAATGAATTTCATGTTTTATAAATGTATGCTAGCAATAGTCAAGGCTTCACAATGAAGCACATTTTAGTCTTCTTGTTGTTCATCACATTTTTTTTAATAACAAACTTCAGATAGTTTCCCTTTATTTGTTTGACATGCTGGAGAAGGGATCGAAATCCCCAAGCATCATCAGCAAGGCGCCTACACTGAACTTTAGACCACATGGGCTTTCTCTAAAGAAAGGAGGCATGTTAAAGCAAGGGTCCAGTCATAGGGAGTGGGCAATTTAGCAGACACGCCTTAATTTTTGTAACTGACAAATGATGTATAAATGACTGTGTTTATGTGCACGTTCTTACGTTTATGTGTGTGTGTATGTATGTGTGTGCTTATATGTGTGTACTTGAATGTGTGTACCTATGATCTGTGTTTGTGTGTAATACATATGTGTGCATGTATATGCGAGTGACTATATGTGTGTATGTTTACCCACACACTCATGTGCAGAAGATGGAGAAGACGCCTTCCTCCTTCCTTATGCTGCATCCGTTCCATGAGATGGGGTCTCTCAGTTGTCCTATCATTTTTAGCTAGCCTCCCTGGTCAGCCAGTCTAAGGGATCCTCCTGTCTGCACCGCCACAGTTAGGGTTACAGGTGCACAGACCATGTTCAGCTCTTGTGGGTGCAGCAGATCTGAACTCAGGTCTCAGCACTTGTGCAGCAAGAACTCCTACCCACCGTCTTTCTCAGGCCCCGAAGTTGACTTTTAAAATATGTTTTAAAAATTCATACCATTTTTATTAAAATATTATACAGCTTTTTTTCTGAGATGAAAAATGATGATGCCAATGTGTCTGACTTGGTATCTACCTATTTTATCAAAGAAATAATCATATATTAAACTATACAAATGTAATTCATATAGTTCAGTTTAATTAAAAGTCTGAAAATCTTTAATTGTAAAATAAAATATCCCGGAATAATTTATGGCATTAGAAATCACATTCAAAAGAAAAGGAACTTTTTTCAGGAAGATAATAGAATTTTAAACTAATTTGTAGAGTTGGATTTTTTTTTTGTGTTGCTGTTGTTGCTGTTGTTTTGTTTTTCAAGACAGGGTTTTTTTCTCTGTATAGCTTTGGAGCCTGTCCTGGAACTTGTTCTGTAGACCAGAGTGGCCTTGAACTCATAGAGATCTGCCTGCCTCTGCTTCCTGAGTTTTGGGATTAAAGGCATGCACCACCACTGACCTGCTGGAGAGAGTTTTTAATGATTATTTCTCATACGTGTACAGAAGGTGGTGAACACAGTGCCTATCACCATGATGTGGCAAAAGGCGAGGAGAAAATAGTGAATGTAAAAGACGTTTGTGTTGCACTACTGTCTAGACCTACTATGACTGAGAGGGTACTGGGGGTGTGGCTTGGTGGTACAGTGCCTACTTCACACCAGTAAGTCACCGTGTGCAGTCCCATCGCTGCAAAAACAGACAAAACCCAAGAGTCTTGAAAGATGAGACTAGAATATGTGTGAGGTTTGTACCAGTGTCACCATGGTAACGTGCTGCAATGCATTTTCCAAGGCTAGTCCTCTATTGAGAGGACTTTGGGAAAAAAGCAAACTAAACTCGTCTACTTGCTAGTAAGCAGACATGACACGTAATACTGTATTCTAATAAACAATGGTGTCATATTTACAGGCATGGAGAGTCAGACCTGGTGTCAGAAATTTACTAGGACTTGTCACTTGAGATTTTTCTCACTTTCAGAAGACTGTTTAAACCTCATTTTTCAAGAGAGTTGGCTTGGATCCAGCAAGCACGCTCTGAAATAAAATAAACTTAATGATAGGCAACATAACTGTGATGTATAAAGTCATGTAAAATAATTTAAGAATCCTGTCAGGATGCCGTCAGAATGGGTAATGACAAGACATTCAACATCTATTGGGTCCTATGTGATAAGGGCTTTTGTCATTAATGAGGCTCTAGCATTACTCATTGACAGTCAAGAGCTTTGCGTGATATCTTGGTACATCTAGAAGCCCTTGATAGCCATCTGAAATCATATTCTCAAGCAGAAAGCCAGCTGCTGGTGGAGGAAGATGGGATTTATCCAGAGCTGGTCACATTATTTGTGAGAGACAATATCTGTCATGTCAGGTGTTTTCCTGTGCAGTGGTGTCTTCTCAGTCCTGGTAAGTTCTGCCACAGTTGTTTTATGCTGTACAAAAGACCATTGAATTACCCCTCTTCAACAACATGACAAAGCTATCCTTGGATGTATTTAAGGGGTATAAACTGAAATGCATTATCAAAGTCTAAACTAAAAAAATAAGAATTATTTTTAAGGTTTTAATTATGTGTATGTATGTGTGAGTGTATGTGGGTATGTGCACATGACAGCAGGTACCTACAGAAGCCAGGAGAGGGCATCAGATCCTCTGGAGCTGGAGTGCCAGGTGGCTCTGAGTTGTTGGGGGACTAAATCCAGGGTCTCTCCAAGGGCAGGAGGTGCTTTTAACTGCGGAGTTGTCTTTCCAGCCCCCAGACTGAAGCATTTCATGTAGTAATTAAGGATACTGACATTCTCCTAAACTGAGGAGTGAACATCTTGGCTCTTCTCTTTTGAAGTATCATTTCATGCCTTCAATATTTGAGTCAATAATGGAAACTCGGAAACCTAACAAATGAAACTGTCCTCAGAGCAAGTGTAAGTGGGGACAGATATATCCTTCGCGTATTAAATCAGTTCTGCAATAACAAAACTTTCAAGGGTAACCACAAAGCACTCATTTAGTCAAGTTCTGTTGTATTTTGGCTATTTTGTTGCTTGTGTGAGAACAAGATCCTCTAACAGATCAAGAATGGAATTAATTTTGAAACCTGCAGCATTCTGCTAGCAGTAAAAATGTTAATCTGTGTATTTATATTACATCTGACTTAGAGGAAAAGCATATGACACAGTATATCTGAAAAATTGAGAATATATAAACCTTAATACATTCTAAGAAAATACCATTTCAGCATATTACCTCATTTTCATTAAAATGATGGAAATGTGAATACAGAAAATCACTTAGTCCTCAGGCTAAAAATAGGTAGATCATCAAAACCTAATATCATTTTAGCTCAAATTGGTATTTGTTCAGTAAATGTTCTACTTCATAATGTGGAAAGTACAAAGGAAAAATTCAAATTTGGGGAAGAAATAGGGCTTTAAAAAACCAAACAAACAGCTAATTCTATTGTTTTGCCTTCTGAAACTGAAGCTATAGGCTTGCCATGAAAGATTATTGCAAAAAAAAGAATAAACCGATCCCTCTGAAATGATTTTGAATTCATCCAGTACTGCAACATATTAGCCGTAGGTTCTTCAGCCAAGTCTTACTTATATTCAGTTTTCAAATTACGTCATCTCTCAGTCCCATCACAGCTATGTTATTTCTAAGATAAAAATAACAACAAAAACATAAGGCCAATCTTGTTAACTTTTCTTGTCTTAACTAAAACAGTGTGAGCTCACACATATTTGAAAGAAGAGAAGTGGGAAAGTTACATGTGCTGGTTAGTTTAATTGTCATGGTAACACAACCTTAATACTTGCTGGAAAGACAGCCATTGTGGTAGTGTATTGTTTACGACCTAATAAAGTGACCGGAAGAACAGAAAAGCAAGGAAGCCAGCCACTAGAGAGTTCTCACCTCTACCAATGCTCAGGCTGACGGGGTGACCCACTGAACCTCAGCTTGCATCCCCAGACGGCACGGCTCTTATATGCTCTCTAGTGCTGGGATTCAAGGTGTGTGCCACCGCTGCCCATCTTCTATGGCTGTGGCTGGCTTTGCATTCTGACCTTCAGTGGCTTTATCAGATCACAAACAGAATATCACCACACAGTCTTGTGGGGGTGCTGTCTACATTGGGTTGGCTGTGGGTTTTCTGGGGCGGGGTCCTGTGCTGTGGTAAAAGCTGACAAATGAAGCTAAGCACCAGCATGCATTTGCCTCTCAACTCTTGACTGTGGCCACAATGTGACCAGTTGCTCATATTTCCACCATCAACTCTCTTGTATCGATGGACTGTACCCCAAGCTGACACTGCACTTGTGAGCTAAAAAAACCCCTTTCTTCCTCTAGTTGCTTCTAGTGAGGATATCTTCTCATAGCAATGGATATGAAGCCAGAATAAGATTATTCTGTTTCTGCCTCAGTATTATCTCTCATTGTTTTTTTCTTTTTCTTAGCAACTAAGCCTGCAGGCAGGGTCGTACTGCTCTGAGAATCAGGTAAAGAATTCAACCCGTTGAGGTACGTTGGCCGCTTAGAATCACTTGTGTCCTGGTAAGTCAGAATAACTCCTTTTATGATCTGCCAGGTTCTGGTGTAGATCTTCCCTCTTCTAAGATGGGAGATATTTCCACAGGAGCCTGATGATGGCATGAGGCAACCTAAGTGAGAAGACTTTTTTGTAGCTCATGGCTTAAGAAGAGAGCAAGAATGGCCACTGTCTATCCTTCTTGGCTTTTAATGCCTTTGCTTTAGCTTTGGCTGTAGAAGGGACAGACATTCCCTTCCCGTCTTCCTTCTTCATCTTGGCAAAACAGTCTATGGTGGCTGTAAGAGCTGGAGCCTCAGTGAAGGAAGTGCATCAGCTCAGGACTGACTTTCAGGTTTTGTAATGTAGCTCACTTCC